AATGAAATTTAACAATAATTTTAAAATGATAATTGATAATATAAATAAAAAAATATAATTCATATAAATTATAAAAAAAAATCATAATTTATGTGAACTTCTTCAAATACTGTTTCTTATGAGTCTAACACTTACAGAAAAATTATTTATTGAAATGGTTTAAATTTATAAATTTTATAAAAATGTTTTGAAAAAAGTAATTTACATAGTCAAAACCAATAACTAAAATATGATTTTAAAGTAAGCAGAATCATCAAAAATGTAAAATTATAAATATCTGCATACAGATTTTTTTCTAAATAAAAATGTTAATAAATATTTCTTCATTATTTTCAACATGTTACAACTGCTGAACAACATATTTTATAAAAGCTATAGCATTTACTTCATTTAATATTTTATACTTAAATGAATAACAATCTAATTCAAATAAGACTGATTGTTATAAGTATGTGTATAAAATGTTACAAGTAGTATATATCTTAGATCTATAAACGTAGATCTTATATAAATATCAAATTAAATTATGATGAACTCTAAGGTTTCAATAAGCTAATAATAAACTTGAATTACTTGAAAATGTTAGAAAATGAATATTATAATATAATCTTAGACTTAAAAGCTGTTTTACCACTTTAGTGGCCTAATTACACTACAGCTTAACCCAATGATTTTCTTTTTAATCATCAATTTTAACTTATCAACTTTGAAAGAATTTTAATATATGGAATTTTGGAGAAGTGAAAAATTAGAGGAACTTTAATTTTATGGTCATGTTGTATATCAACAATTCAACAATAAAATTCATTATCAATATACTTGTATAATATTTATAAATATAAATGGAAAAATTCTTACTGACACTAAAACAATTTATTCCATCATATTTAATTATTATTCTCATTCTATTTTTCTTTATTTGATACCTTCTACCCCTTATAACAACACATACCGCTTTTTTAACAAAAGACACGAACCCATAGCCCTTAGACTTGAGAGTCTGTGGGTCTCGTACAACTCTGCAATCACTGAAAAAATAAAAGAAGCATTCATATAGTTTCAAGTAAATAAAGTATTTTATTTAAAAAATTACTAATAAAAAGTTTAAATTATATTAATTTAAAATAATTTTTTAAAGTTTTAGTTAATTACATTTTAATTAATTAATTAAATTTTAATTCATAATATTAAAAAAATAAATTGCTAGAATACATAAGATTTATTCAAATGGCTATTTAAATATTCTATGTTATAGATACATAAAATAAACAATAAAAATTCTATTAAATGAAAATCATCATGCTATCAGAAAATTGTTTTTATTTTACATCAAATTTTAAATGTATAATTTAATTTATATCATTAAGTAAAAACAGAAAAATCACCAATTAATTCCAATAACTATTCAAAAAAATTTTTTTAATATGTACTTTACAAATTTTCTAATACATTTTATTAATTGATGAGTATCTATTTCATATGTATTCTACATAATAACACAGTATTATGATATTACTTTATTCAGATCATATCTATATAAATTTGTCTTATTACATTCAATAAAATAACTGAAAATTATAATTTTCAATGTCTTTAGATACAGTAATAATTTTAAATTGTCATTTTCTATAAAATACTTTCAAAAATATTCTAAATCATGTCTACATTTTTAATTTAGTTTTGCAAGAACTTCAAATAATAAGTGAATTAAAACAACAGTTTTATTTTTACAATATTTTTAAGAATTTTCTCCATCTTTAAGTTTATGGATCATAGTTTAAAATTTATTTATAAAAAGAGAGTAATTTATTTTATTTAACTAACTGAAAATAAAAATTTTTAATTATTTTAAATGTTAAAAATATTCATATAATCTAAGTTAATGTCATAATGTCACCAAAGAATTTTTCTAATATTCTTTGAAATACTAAATTTATATTTTTTAACATTTATTAAAAAAAAAGTAATCTCATTACAATCTTTTGATTTATCTATATTATACTGTTTACTGTAGTAATGAAATTTAACAATAATTTTAAAATGATAATTGATAATATAAATAAAAAATATAATTCATATAAATTATAAAAAAAAATCATAATTTATGTGAATTTCTTCAAATACTGTTTCTTATGAGTCTAACACTTACAGAAAAATTATTTATTGAAATGGTTTAAATTTATAAATTTTATAAAAATGTTTTGAAAAAAGTAATTTACATAGTCAAAACCAATAACTAAAATATGATTTTAAAGTAAGCAGAATCATCAAAAATGTAAAATTATAAATATCTGCATACAGATTTTTTTTCTAAATAAAAATGTTAATAAATATTTCTTCATTATTTTCAACATGTTACAACTGCTGAACAACATATTTTATAAAAGCTATAGCATTTACTTCATTTAATATTTTATACTTAAATGAATAACAATCTAATTCAAATAAGACTGATTGTTATAAGTATGTGTATAAAATGTTACAAGTAGTATATATCTTAGATCTATAAACGTAGATCTTATATAAATATCAAATTAAATTATGATGAACTCTAAGGTTTCAATAAGCTAATAATAAACTTGAATTACTTGAAAATGTTAGAAAATGAATATTATAATATAATCTTAGACTTAAAAGCTGTTTTACCACTTTAGTGGCCTAATTACACTACAGCTTAACCCAATGATTTTCTTTTTAATCATCAATTTTAACTTATCAACTTTGAAAGAATTTTAATATATGGAATTTTGGAGAAGTGAAAAATTAGAGGAACTTTAATTTTATGGTCATGTTGTATATCAATAATTCAACAATAAAATTCATTATCAATATACTTGTATAATATTTATAAATATAAATGAATAATAAATTATAGATAACCATTTGCAAAAAAGTAAATTAAAACAATTTTTAATTACAGCAATAAAATTTCATTAAAGTTCTATTAATGCAGATATGCTATTGTTCTGATAACCCAAATTTCATCAGTAACATTCTCACACGTAACATAGCCTGTTAATGGCAGTTGATACTTATAGTGATTATATATTAATCAAAGTCAGTGACAGAATTATGCAAACATTTATAGATAATAATAAAAATGTGAAAGAAAAGTTTTAAATTGTTTTAATTATAGCATCTATTATACAATTTTTAAACAATTCAAGGAATAAATTAATTATATATAGCAAATCCTCACTTAATGTCATCAATATGTTCTTGAAAACTGCTTCATTCAGCAAAACAACATATAACAAAACTAATTTTACTGTAGGCTAAGTGATGTAAGCAAAATATAATTTGGTTATTATTATTCTAATTGGATTATGTTTGCAACCTCCAGCATTTATTTTCCATCTCATAGAATCAAATTTACTGTTTATAAAGAAAATTCAACAATGATAATTGTACATATTAGCCCAGGATTATTATAGTTATCTTCAATATTAAAAATTTAAGACTACACAAACAATGTTCGAGTCCTTTTTCCTATTTTTATCCTTTATAATTCCAATCCGGGAACCACTATAATAAGATAATCAGCTTAAATGCAATTATATAACTTGGATGCTGTTGTGAATAATTTTTAATGTTTGTAGACATTATAGCCTACAAAAAAAGGTCAACTTCAAGATCATTTTTAATTGTGTGTGAAATTTTTTGATAGTATTTGTCTGTTTTTAGAAGTTTTACTTCAAGTCGCCTACTGTTTGTGGTTCCTGGATTGGAATTATAAAAAATAAAAATAGGAAAAAGGACTCAAACATTGTTTGTGTAGTCTTAAATTTTCAATATTAAAGATAATGATAACTGTAATTACAAATGTACTTTCAAAAAAAAAAAAAATTCAAATATTACAACTTTGAAAAGAAAATTTACTGATCTCTTAATAGATTAGTAAATTTTCTTTTATAAATAAGGGGTGGATTATAGCTGAAATTTTAGGGACATATCTGAGGGTTCAGTGATGTTTATTGTTTATTGGATTATTTCTGTAATTTGTTACAAAGTGAAATTAAACGTTAATGTTGTAACAAAGAAAATCAGTTATCATTACTTGAACTTGCAGATAAAGAAAATTTGTTTTAATATCTTTTAAAAATTTGGCAACAAGTTATATAACTTTCCTGGCAAAAGATTTAAAGCTATATGGCACCTTCTGTTATATTTCATTAAAAACTTTTTATATTATTAATTTTACAAAAATGGCAAAAAGATTACTTTTTGAGGATACAGATGAGTTTTATAAAAAATTGCAAATGTTAATAATGAGTAAAATCTTCATTTGGCCTGACAACACCCCTTTATCTTCCCAATCCCTTGACCTTTTAACCACCAAAATTTAATAGCATCAATCCCCTAATACAAGAACTTCCTTGCAAAATTTCAGAAATTTTTAACAAAATGTACAGGAGATATTAAAATTCAAAGTGGATGAAGAAAATAGTGTCCCCTACACACTAACATCCCTACATATAAAAAAATCTCATTTTTTTTGTATTTCTTATCATTTCAAGGACCCCTGCATTCAAAAATGTAAAAATCTTGAGGGGTGACTTTTTGACCGATTGCCATACTTTCCTTCTGTTATATATAACGACTGAAAAAGTAAAAATTGTTAATTATTAAACATCCAATAATTTATTTTATTAGAGAAGATAATTAATTAACTTTATGTTTTCAATATAAAATAATATTAAATTTTACAGTAATAATCGTAAGCAACATGTTAAAAACAACTTTGTATGTGTAAAAGTAACGTAATTTAAAATTAATTCATTCATTATAAATATAAATGAATTCTAAATATTTATTTTATGTTAGATGCATAATAATAATTTAGATTTAGAATGTTTTAATCAAACATTAATCATTCTATTTGCAGGAATATATAATGCAATAGACAGTTTAATCATTCTACCAGAGTATCTAATATTGCATTTAATTCCAAAATCTGTGCATAAAACTATAAATTGTTATTCAATTACAATATCTGAATATTTGATACAAATGATCATGTATATCAGAATAACTAATCTCTTTTGCAAGTATCATTTGAAAAAGAAATTTAATGGGCCATAAATTTATCTTGTTTTTATGGTTTATTTTTATACTTACAAAATTATAAATAANTGTAACTTCAAAAAAAAAAAAAAATTCAAATATTACAACTTTGAAAAGAAAATTTACTGATCTCTTAATAGATTAGTAAATTTTCTTTTATAAATAAGGGGTGGATTATAGCTGAAATTTTAGGGACATATCTGAGGGTTCAGTGATGTTTATTGTTTATTGGATTATTTCTGTAATTTGTTACAAAGTGAAATTAAACGTTAATGTTGTAACATAAAGAAAATCAGTTATCATTACTTGAACTCGCAGATAAAGAAAATTTGTTTTAATATCTTTTAAAAATTTGGCAACAAGTTATATAACTTTCCTGGCAAAAGATTTAAAGCTATATGGCACCTTCTGTTATATTTCATTAAAAACTTTTTATATTATTAATTTTACAAAAATGGCAAAAATATTACTTTTTGAGGATACAGATGAGTTTTATAAAAAATTGCAAATGTTAATAATGAGTAAAATCTTCATTTGGCCTGACAACACCCCTTTATCTTCCCAATCCCTTGACCTTTTAACCACCAAAATTTAATAGCATCAATCCCCTAATACAAGAACTTCCTTGCAAAATTTCAGAAATTTTTAACAAAATGTACAGGAGATATTAAAATTCAAAGTGGATGAAGAAAATAGTGTCCCCTACACACTAACATCCCTACATATAAAAAAATCTCATTTTTTTTGTATTTCTTATCATTTCAAGGACCCCTGCATTCAAAAATGTAAAAATCTTGAGGGGTGACTTTTTGACCGATTGCCATACTTTCCTTCTGTTATATATAACGACTGAAAAAGTAAAAATTGTTAATTATTAAACATCCAATAATTTATTTTATTAGAGAAGATAATTAATTAACTTTATGTTTTCAATATAAAATAATATTAAATTTTACAGTAATAA